CTGGGAGTGGGCGCGCGGCCGCCCCACGCCCGAGGGTGCTCACCCCGCCCAGGCCTGGTCAGCCGGGCGTGTGTGGGCTTGAGCCTCTAGGCCCAAAGCCGCAGGGCTCAGAAGGTGCCCAGTCTGGAGCTGTGCAAGGCGGAGAACTTGCGCAGGCCCCAGCTTGCTAGTCCTAGACCGTGCATGTGCAGAAAGCCTGCTCAAGGCCAAACCTGTGGGTTCTAGAATGTTCTGAACAAATGCCTGCTTTAGCCTGTATCCTGCTGAGGCTCAGCTCCTGCTAGGCCCAGCCAATTTATTCCTGACTCCTGTGAGGCCTAAAGCCTTTTGAGGCCAGAACCTCGTCAGGCCTCGGTCAACCCGAAAGCCTGCTGGGGCCAAACCTCACTGTGCCCGACCCAGATTGCTTGCTTCTTTCTCAAACAGGCCAAGTCAAAATGGCAAGGACCGAGGTCTCTGACCCTTCCGAGCATTTCACCAAAATCAAAGAGCTAGAGTTGGTGCCAGAAAAAGCCCAGGAGGAGGAGGGTGGAGTGAGCAGAACGAAGGAGCCCCCAAGCCCTGGAGAGGTGGAGGCGCAGTGCGCCTATGGGGCCCTCCTGACCCAGATGCCCGGGGGAGAGCAGGAGCTGGTGCCTGCCACCGTGGAGGACAGTGGGAGGCACATCCTGACCCTGCAGGCAGTGCACCCCACCTTCGAAGACGGGGAGCTGCAGGTCAGCTGTCTGATGCCACAGCACCAAGAGGGGGTGCAGGTGATGGTGCAGCAGACCAGCAGTGGGGTGCCGTCGCTGCTGTGGGTCAGAGAGGGGACCCAGCAGAGCCTGCACCAGTACGTGGCCATCAGCATCCAGGACGAGGTGTACTCGCTGCAGGCAGTGGAGCACATGCAGTTCCACATCCTGCAGGACAGTGTGGCCGTGGCCACTGAAGACAGTAAGTGTGTGGAGAGCCTGCCTGAAGGCGCTGGATTGATTAAGGTACATGTGCCTTCAAAAAACAGACCCCTTACATGGAATTTAAAGCAAACAATTTTTTAGGTTGTCTGTTGTGCAGTATTATGTATAGACAAGCAGTTTAAAATAAAACACAGTAAAATAATTCCCAGGAAAATCCGGGGGGTGGGGGGGGAAGCACATGTTCTTTCTTAAGAGTTTAAAAAGTTTCACTAATGAGAATACTATCAGGCACATTGTGTTGTGTGTGTGTTTTTTAAATAGTGTTGTTTTACCATCAAAACTGTTGATGCTTAATAATTACTCTTAAGCACTTCGGTTGCAAAGGACAATCTTATGTACTACTTTAATTTTTTTTTGTTACGTGTTGCTTGGTTTCATCAAGGCAAAGAGTTGAATCAGGTTGTAATTTACAGTACCGTATTAATTTGAATACTTGTTTTATTTACTAGCTTGAGAAAAGTCAGGAGGAGGTCCAGCTACCAGCTGAAGGAGGTGTCAAGGAAACACAAGACCAGTTCTTTCTTGTGGAAGCAAGGCAGGGAGATGAAATTGTCCTGACAATTTCAGACTTAAACGTGAAAGAAACAGAAGATCAGCCTGCGCCTATTCAACCACATGTTGAAAGAGCCAACTCTCCAAAACCTCAACAAGAGACCAAGGGTAGGCGGGTTCATTTTGTGTGAAACCCTGCATAAAGTGAGCTGCTGTTTTTCTTTAGGAAAAGGAGAGCGTCATTGAAGCTTTAAAGGGTTGACTTTTTAGTTGCTTTTAGAATGTCAGGAAATGGGAGAAGTTTTAAACTGATATTCTCTATTGTGCATCAAATCCAAGTGTTTTTTGCATTTTGCACACAAGTGTTTTCAAAGGGTAGAAAATGCTCCTGCAAAGCGCTGTGCGTGCACATAGAGTGTTGGGCTCCCTCCCATCTGCTCCCTAGTTTGGACCCTGTGGTGGTGGGTGGGGAGCAGGAGCACCTGCTTCCTGCCCAGGAGGAGTGATGTGGAGAAGGCAGCAGAGGTGCCTTCTGGGGAGAGGAAGCCTAGGTGAGGCCACGAAAGAGGACTCTGACGCCACTCGGAGGGGGGACACTGGGCCAGGCGGCAGCAAGTGGCCTGTGGGTGGGGCTTCATAAGGAGGCTGGAAGGCCTTCGAAAAGGAAGATCAGGCCAGATGAGGAAGGACCTTGAAGTTATGTTAAGACTGAGATTGAATCTTGGCAGCCCACAGGGTGGATTTGATCCTCAAAATTATTTGTCTGGTTTAAAAAAAAAAAAAAAAGTTTCTTGTTTAAATTAAAGAGTTCACTCTTCAAATCTCAATTCCTAGCTCATTTTTAAAAAGTCATATTTGACAACACTTGGCTCTGTTTCCTCCCTTCTGCAACAGGTGGCCGGGGCTGGGAAGTGACTTGCTTAAGAAAGTCACACAGCCACCACCGTCCGTGGTCAAAGTCATTCATTTAGGGTTATTGCCTCTGGTTCCAGTCAGTGGTAGAATTTGCAACCCTCGCTATAAGTCGTTTCTCATATATTTAAAGCAAGAGATTGTGCCCCCTGCCCAATTTCCCAATTCCCAGCTCATTTTCAGTTTTTAATATATTCACAAGTTTGCACCACCATGGCCACCATCTAACTCCAGCATACTTTCATCACGCCTCAAAATGGAACTGGAACATCGAAAGAGAGGTTTTTCCAAATACATAAACTGTCTCCGCAGGAGGAAAACGGACCTTCCACTGTGACTTGTGCAGGTTCACCACAGCCAGAATTTCGAGTTTAAATCGTCACATGAAAACTCACACCAACGAGAAACCGCACGTGTGTCACCTGTGCCTGAAAGCTTTCCGCACGGTCACCCTGCTGCGGAACCACGTCAATACCCACACAGGTAATGCTTCCCGAGAAGGATGCTGCCCCGGAGTGACATGTATTAAGGCTTTAGGGAAGCACATGCAACTATTTCTGTGTTAAATTAGCATATTGCTTTAGACTTGTCTTGTTTTCTTCCATTTCAGTTAAAAACATTGAAAGATACAAAGACTTTTCTCGCCCCTATCTGGCGTATTTATGGTTTAAAGGGCGAGCCTCTTCTTCGTGTTTAAAGCATTTTGAGGCTGGGTGTCATTTAGAAGTTATAAGTTCCTAGGAAAATTTGTGGTTAAATCTTGTCAAAAGGATAAACTGTGATTTTACAGGAACCAGGCCCCACAAGTGTGGTGATTGTGATATGGCCTTTGTCACCAGCGGAGAGCTTGTCAGGCACAGACGTTACAAACACACTCACGAGAAGCCGTTTAAATGCTCCATGTGCAAGTATGCGAGCGTGGAAGTAAGTTCATGCGTGTGCTTAAAGCTTTGTGGTGTCTTACTAAAAAGTTACTCTAAGTTATGTTACGTTAAACTAGCAGTGAATCCCTTACAAAAGAGGTTTATTAAAGATGTTATTCATACAAAGTCTATGCAGGAAATAACAATCATTCAGTTTTCTAAATTGAAAATAGAAAATGGGATTTCTTTTTGCTTTGATTACCAGTTAGCAAAAGCAATATATAAAAGTATACAAATTACAAATAAAACTGCGTGAGGTACTTGGGAAATAATTCTCAAATTATGTTCAAGGCTCTACCTAGTGTTTTAGGTGGCACTCGGTCCGCAGTCTCAAAATGTATTGTCTCCAGCATAGACCTCAGATCCAGTCTGAAGGCTGGCTGAAATCTTTGTGCCTCCATCTGTAGTTCGCAGTCAGATCGAAGCGACTTGCTTGAAGGTTTAATCATGCCATTTCCCCTGTTATTGCAGAGAAGCCAGGTGTTTCAAACTTCAGTCATGTGGCCCAGTCACGTCAACTGGATCATTTTATTCAGACCTTCTAGCAGGTTCAGCAGCTCTCTGAATGAAATGACAGAACATTAATTACTTCACTGTCGTTTTCTGCAGTTAATTTTTAAGGGCTCCACTATCTGCCCGGACACTTGCCGGGGCCTGATTTTGAGCCCAGTTGGGAAAAGACGCTGCACTTG